CCTCATTGCGCTTACCCCGCAACCCCGGATACATATACAGGGTGTCCGGTAAGAATGGATAACCTTGAAATGCCTTTTAGTATATCTTATAGCCATTCAGAGAAAAAAAACGAATAGGAAAGTATCATAGGTAGTAAATAAGTTGTGATGTCTTGAAGTAGAAGAACTGGTGCTAGAGGTAATAGAAAATGATCCTACGACATTCACGCACATTAAATTATTTGATGATTAAACATTGCTGCAAAATTAATTATGCACAATTTGTCTAAAATAATGTAATTTGCAACATTTTTATAAATAAATTTCGTAATAAATATTCTGAATGGCTATAAGATATACTTAAAGATATTGTAAGGTTATCCATTCTTTAAAGGGCACCCTGTTTATATACGTAGTCTGGATTAACACAAGGAACCTTTACCCAAGATTCTAGAGCGAAGCCGCTTATAAAAGTTATAATATTGATTTAATCATAATTAGACATGTTCAAAATATTAAAAGATACCTTACATTTGAATCTAAGATTTCGTTGTATAAAGGTATAAGTATATAGATTGTGCTGTTCTAAGGCCCAGTCATCCATTGTACAGTTACCGCCCGATTTTCGACCAAACCCCGCTATTCTTAGATGACCTAGATTGTTCCAGATGAATATTAAATGCTATTTTTGGTAAGGTTCATCGTGGAAACTAAGCCTAAAATTTTGATTGAGACCTAAAATGGATGTATATCTGCTTAATAGGTTGCCTTAATTCTATTATATCTCTACTTCTATGTAACTTAATTGTTGATTACTTCTTAAGAAAGTAAATTCTGTGAACTGAATTGTTTTATATGTTATGTAAATAGCTCTATGTATATTTTATATTAACGTCTAAGGACGGAGACGGGAGCGACAATTGAATGATAATATGACAGCACTAATTTAAATACAGAGTAGGTTTGTTTTATTTTTCTCGGCAAATGTGTGTATGCTAAGCCTCTCATTAGTCTAGTAATGGAATTTGAACGCTAATCAAATGAGTGAAGAGACAAAATACATTGGCAAGGGATTGGTTGAAGTTTCGACACTACGTGACAATGTCACTGTCATTCATATTCGAGTATATGAGGACTTCCTAGGCTATTATGTATCATCTTTTTCTTTAATATTTTTACTTTAAATGTTGAAATGCGTAGTCTCAATGCTGTTTTTCTGTGGATGGGTTCAACAAACCTATTAGGCTTATGTGTATGAACAGGCAGATCTGAATATGATGTAGGAAATAAGTTCGAAACAAAATTTTTCATTAAAAGCTTCTTAAGTACTTTTGGCTCATCTTTAGACCTTCATAAAACTGTACTGATTTAATTTACTCAACGGCGGCACAAACAACTCTTAAAATTTTTAATGGTCTATGATACCTCGTCATTAGATTCTGACTTACTTGTCACTAAGTAAATAGCAGACCATTTTGGGAGTAATAACTTAAAAAAAAGAATTGTCAAAATCAGTTCAATTAGAAAAAGTTGTCACTGAATAAACAAAAATATTTGCATTCGTTCGAATTTAGGAAACTCCTCCCTTTTTAGTTTAAAATAAAAATTAAACATCGAAAATATTGGATATAAAATATACACAACATTGCGCCCCATCGCGTCGCGTCGGTGCAGTACTCCTATCAAATTCATATCTCTTTGGACGTACACCTAACATCAAATACAAAATGTATGAAACACGAAACGAATTAACAAAACTGACTGTCTCTGGGCTCATGGAACCAACCACGAAAAAACAAGAACGCAGATTTCTTGTCCAAGTAAGGCAAAGAATGATGTGTTTTGGCACAGGCAGGATCTGCTATAGCCATCCTGAACGTGGGTCTGCGGACGGAAACCTAAGAAACTTGCCAGAGATAGACCCTAGCATACTGAGCGTCGCGGAATGGAATGGGAATAATGTGAAGCCAGAATTGGAGCAGGCCAAGAAATACGTTGGTTTTAGACAGTAAGCGACTGACTCCTCGCCCCACCCAGAGTAGTAGAATTCATTGGATGATTTTCCATTTATATAAAACGACTTCAAACTTTTATTTAGAAGCTATCCCGTCTCGGTCGCGTTTTCCTCAATTTTTTTTCGTCTGCCAATGGTGCCTAAATATGATTAAAGAAAGTTTACATGATTCTTAGTCTTATAGTCTAGCCGATAGAATTGAAATTAACACACAAAAACAACTATTATCAGATTTCTAGTGTTGGCATTTTCACCTGTCTGCTATTCAAGAGCTCATTGTAATATTTAAAACCACTAGTAGATTACTACAGTTCTCAAACTCCCCAAAGCGAACGGTTTCTACCGCTTTCATTTATTTAAGACTAATGCTACATCTCAAAATAAAAGGTTTTTGTTTAGATGGAATAGTGCTGTTATAGTTCTATTATTTTTTTGTTTCTAAGTGCAATAAATTGGTTTTGTATTAATAGTAAATAGTTATAATAAGTTCGGGATACCTTTTATCAAGAATGAGGAAGTTTTATAGATCACACAAGCAACTTCAATCATAATAGGGTTCAGAATTGTCTTACGGCCTAGTGTTTTAATAAAAACAGCTACAATTTAGTACACAACGCAATTTGTATGAAATGTGTGCCTTATAAGTTTATCAGGTAATATGAAGTTAATGAAACAGGCCGTTGCCAGTACTAGAAAAGGCGAGAGAACAGTAGGCCTACCATGAAGTGTTAAAGCGTGAATCTTCCCGGCGAGAAAGAGGGATAGAGCTATACACCTTTTATAGCTCCATCCCTTTTTCTCGCCCGAAAGATTCCCACTCGTCATGGTAGGCCCTCACATGAGTCTGTTGTGAACTATGTAAAAGAACTTTTAATGAATTGAAATGGCGTATTCTTAAGACGTTCTTATTGTTCCTAAACACTATAAAGTGATGGAGATATATAGATACTTAAAAGTGAATTCACATAAACTATCAAGAGAGCTAAGACGAACTTAAATGCATTCTATGTACATTCGAGTAGTGTGTTGGTATTGGGCGTTTAGAAATTTACTGTTTTCCATTTAGAGTTCGAAGTGTCTCTTAGTTTTCCCTTATTCTAAGATCAGGCAAAATAAAAGTCAGAGTCGGTAATATGTAATTTTTTCGTACATATTATGACCGTGACTTTTATATGCTCATATTGAAACTATTTCACTATTCCTAGGTGATAAGGTAATGGGTTCCAAAACGATATAAGCAGAAAAAAACAAAAAAAGGTACATGTGAGTGAAAACAGCTCTATGTCATGTATCTAAATTATTTTTCCTTTCATAGGTCTGCAGGAAATTCCAATAGGAATATGTGCTTATTAAAATTTTATAAATGTAGTGTATTTTTTTCTGCAACAGTATGTATGTATACAAATAACTTTACTGTCGTCGTAATTCTCCAAGGACTAAAAATTTCAATTCATCCGACCAACCGAGTTATGACGTCACAACAAAGTAGGTATTACGAATGCACCTCTGTGCAAGTAACTGCGGCGTATAAAGTATACAAGGAAGGTTTTAAATAAATAATCAGACGAGCTGCAGTGGCCAGTGTTACTCACACCGGGAATGGGCCAAGGATTTGTGGCACAACAACCGAATGAATCTTTTATAAGGTTTCTTTTAGATTTTTGAAAAGAGTTCGCGAGGAACTGTTTTGCTTTGTGATTGACTGAAATGTTAAGAATGCATTGTGGTTTGTGGTTTATTAGTGTCCATTTTGTTCTGAGGTGTTGCCAAGATTGACAACTTTGGAATTTTACCCCTAAATTTAGGAGCTAGAAGTGTTGAAATGTTTTTTTAGTGAAATAATTTATTTCTAGTTTTTTTTGGGCTTCAAACCATTACCAACCAGCCATTAAGGCTTAACCGTGTGTTATACAGAGTTCGATTTTCATTTTTCCTTTATCCAGATTTTGGTGGCGTGAAATTTAAGCCCACTGTTATTGTGAACATATGTTGAAAGTTTCTACGACATGAAAACGTCCAACAAATATGAAGATGTAAATAATAAAGAATTATTAAAAATTATACAATATAATTATTTATTAAATGAGCTAAGTAACAATTTGGACATAATGTAAGAATAAGAATCATATAGAGGTTCTATATGTTCAATTTAGTATAAACCTTCTACACGGCTTCGTACATGGTTTTTCAGAAAAAAAAAAATGTTATCAACACTGGGTATTGCTAAGTTGGTTGGATATTGACAATCGACTACTGCGCCGGTCTAGCTCGCTCTTAATAGCTCTCAGACGTACAATCTCTCGTTCCATCGAGAATCTTGAAGCGTTGAATCTATTTAGATATCGTAGGAGAACCCACAAAATGTTTTAAGTGTAGAAGAGGCCAGCTTCGACACGAATTTGTCGGCTCGACCGGAGTGATACCACGACTTTACAGAAACCGGCGTAAAACAATCACAGTGTTGTTTCGCCATGTGAATGTTGTTTCCGAAAGCCAATATTTTCCCTTTACCCATACCTTTTCAATGCCTAAATCTACAAAACCATAATCTCCAAAAGGCCGGCAACGCACTCGTAACTTCTCTGGTGTTGTAAGTATTCAGCACGGCGCCGAATGCTAACCATCAGGTCCGTCTTTGAGGAGAAAAAAATATTTCGACTTTAGCATTTTCTACAGCACCAGGATATGAAATGTATTATTGAATACCATATTTAAGGGTCTACGCGAATTTTTGCCTCAAACTTGCGTGCAATAAAGATTATAGAAGACTGCGCTTGCGCTTACTGAGGTGTCGTAATTAACCACCACCACTAGCTAAAATAAATTGAAGAACTACATACCTATAACGCTGCACCTACAAGTGTACCGACCATAAAATCTCCAGCTCAATGGACTATTACCTAAAATGTATCCATAGCTAAATTAACTTTTGACAGCAAGCGATTGAACTAACACGACTATACGCTTCAGTGGCGCCAACTGGTGAGCGCAAAACTGAAAACCCTCATTAGTTTCGGGTGCTTGAACAAAGGGATGCGTCTAGCGATCCTCTTAATGAGGAGTACTGTGCCTCTTGCGTTATGTACATGTTATTAAATGCTGTTGGAGTTCAAATAAGTACGTATTTTGTAGTATAAGTCAAGTAAGAGTATGATTAAATTAGAATTTTAGTGAGGTACTTAATACTTAAATGGTAAACTCCTGCAAGTGCTAATTCAATACCATTTTTCGTTTAAGAACAAAAAATGTTAAAAATGAGATTGAACAATATGACAATTAGGAAAGATATTGATACTTTCAACATAATTACTCCTTGAGATCACTACACTACAATAACGAAGTAAATAGTTCAGAAGTTTGCGTTTGCGTTTTAACGTGCAGTGTCTAAAAATGTGAAATAGATCGGGTTAAGCAATCGAGTTTATCCATAAAAACTTTACGTTAAAAGTGGGTGACCTCTTTTGGGATCGAATTTCTAAGAATCCTTTCATATATAAAAGGATATACTAATATTATATATAATATTAGTATATGATAGGTTAAAAATAAAGGTCCGTATCTAAATAGGACTTCATAATTCTTAGTAGGTACCTACTAAAGGTTTTTAAAATTAGAACAAAACTTTATTTCTTATGAAAAACTCAGCAAGCAGCAGCAGCAATGCAGACAAACTTTATACATCAAAGTTTTATAATTCAGCTTCTTCGGTTTATATCAAGATTATTATAGAACAACGCAATTAATTAAGAACTAAGATGTTCTCGTATAAATGAAGCAAATCCAGGTAGATTGTGTACATAATGAATTTTACTGCCGTCCTCAGAGTTTTTTTTATGATTAATGATTGCACGGTAGGCGCGGCGGCTGGGCAACTGGCTGCCGCACAACGTGTCGAGTTTTCGATTCCCGCACGGAACAACTCTTTGTGTGATCCACAAATTTTTGTTCCGGGTCTGAATGTGATGTGTACGTGAAAACGCACCCACGACATAGAAGAAAATCCTAGTTGTGGCGCAAAAAACAAAACAAGTAATTAAAATTTTTCTTAGAAACGACATCGTTTCGACGAGAAATGGATTTTTGAGAGAGGAGAGGGAGGGAGGGTCTGACTCTTCCTGACTAACACCGTTTCTTCTCCTTCTCCAGGAGGGCTGGTTTTAGTGATCATTAAATTACTCTAAGAACGGCGGTAATATTTATTGAATATTAATTAGGGATATATAGAAAGCTTGGACATTTACATGAGGAAGGTATTTCTTCAATACTTATTACTTACCTATTATAAATAATGTATTTACAACATAATAATGTATATCTTCCATTTCTTTTCATAAAGATTCTGTAAATAATCGCTGCGTAGAAATTGTAGCATCCATTGAATATGAGATTCTGAAGTATACAGATTAGGCCGCCTATTTTACACAGTACCTGTCTGCTGTTTTCACGCACTTACCTATGGAATATTGAACAGTATTGAATAAATGATAACTAGAAGGTTCTACTTACTTGTGGCGCTTACTTCAGGCCCCAGAGACTCGAAAGCTTTGCCAAAACTCAGCTTAAGTAGTCGATCTGAATCTGAAACAAAAAGTTAAAGTTAAAATTTAGTTTCGCGGCAAATAGCGCCATCTGTGTGTTAAGCACTGAGTTGTTCTTCGCCTGCTACGTAATGAAACTTGGTCAATTCAGGCTTGGTACACTGCGCTACCACAATGCGTAGTGCGAGCATATTTCCCTAGATGGCGCTGTTATAAATTTTACGATGTGAAGTGATAGAGTTGTCAGATATCTAATTTATAATGTTAATTATCTTATAAATAATTTCTAACAGTAAGTATAACAACGTTTAACACTGCAACGAGACATCATCATCGTACTTAAACAAATAAAAAAATATTTCTACCTATTTAACCAACTAAAATTTAAAAAAAAAGAACGTCTTAACACACCTGAGAATTCACAAGGAGATTTCTGTAGTAGATTATAATATATGTATGTATGAACCTCTTACTTCCCGAATATTCTGTTTAGGTACCTAATTCCTAAAACATTTGCAACCAAGCTTTATTGGGAATTTGCATCTTATGCAAGAGTGTCAGGTGAGACTTGCGATTCCAATCTAAATAAGCGGTAGCAAGAGGTCGGCTGGACAACCGCCAACATTTCTATTCATAGTACCTACCAAGTTGGCACTCGCAAATTTAACTGCAACCGACGCATTTACGAGTCCCTCGTTACAAATTCACTACATTTTTTACTGTTTTAATAGCCACTATTTTCTTACAGAAACGTTTTAGCTAAATTGAAGAATTCAGTTCTTAATATTTCCCAATAGATGGCGTTTTTATTAAAAATGGTTGTACGGTTTGAAATGGTTGTAAATTAATGACTCCCTTACAGGAAATGATTTGAAATGGCTTAAAGCTTTAACAATTGCCATAAATACATGACCTATGGAACTAAAGCAACGTCATCCAAAATTCTCTACACACACTTCAAACTGGAGATCAATATTAATTGGACAAATTGTGGCGCTAACTTTGCATTGAGTTGCGAGTAACTTGAGGTCGATACTAACCAATGTAGTTTGAACTTCTCCTTCATTAGTGAACACAGGAACTGAACCACATTACACTACAATGGCGTGGATCCCTCTATATGTAGGTATCTACATAAACACAGTTAACACAATTTAAACTACTCGTATGTTCCTCTGACCAACAGAGGGCACGGAAAAGAACTTACAGAAAATAGACCTTATAGATAAATTTGCTGTGTATGTCGCACGCGGCCAATAATCTTATTTAGCTCTAACGGCCTGAATGAGTAGCTGTTTAATAGAATAGCCTGGCATTCAGGCGGTGTGTTGAAAGTTGAAGAGATTTTTGTTTAATCAGAGCTTCTACAAGGTTAGGCTTGAATAGAACATTACATCGTGAACATTTACAGTAGGTAATTTATTTGATATCAGAAATTAATACCTCATAGTCTAGGAAAAGGACTGTCTCTCCGTAGGCTTCGCTTACACGGCGAGACAAAGTGTTTTTGACCGCGGTGTCCTCTGAGGTTGTGGTATCACTCCAGTTGAACCTGACCATTCTTTCAGAAGCATAGCAAGCAAGCTCTCCCACGCTTGAAACTGTACTCCATAAAATACTTTTTCATAATCTCACACTTGGCAGGGTAGCATCAAGTATTTTGAAGGAAAGATAAATAATACAAACCAGCAGCAGTTGAGTCAGGTGGGGGTTGGAACAGGAATGTGGCTGCAAACCCTTGGCCAGGTGTGGCTGAGTTAGCAGTGAACTGGATGAGCAGCGCTGGACCCGTCGACAGCACCTCATAGCCTGTAAAATGTAAGTTTAAAGTTATTTATATTTGTATTACGAGTGATTTAATGAACACTGATTATTACAGTCTAAAGATATTTATAAATAAATAACGTCTTCCTGAACCCAAAAGATGATTGTTAGTCTATACTAATAGGTAGTAGAAAGAGATACAGTTTATTAACCGACTTCATAAGTTTGTAGGTATGGGTTAACATTTGGAACTGCTGGTGAGATTTCCAAAATTCTTCATAGATAGCTGCAATATTCCTGAGTGCTATAGGCTATAAAATATCACGCAACAATCTATAGGAGCCGCGAAAGAAACCGCACGAGCGAACCTAGTCTTACATACAAGGATGACATCCTTGTATGTAAGACTAGGTTCGCTCGGTTCGGTCTATCTTTAATTATACCAGAATAACAAGTCCAGTCTATAGACCAGTCCATAAATACACTTTACTTAACGAAATGAAACCACAACCGCAGTATCGAATTCAAAACAGAAATCAGGCAAAAGCCTTAAACTTGGATTAGGGGATGATCATGGGTCCCTTTTAATCCAATCCCTAAGTTATTAGACTCAAATTGACCCAAATTTCAATTTTAGAGCTCATAGTAGTGACCAACTTTAAAGCTAAAGTTTAACGAACCTCCGATAGTGCACGCTAATATGTATTAACGGTTTAGACTCTCGAGCCAGTAAAAGTTAAACTGGAAATCTATCATCCAGCAAATCCGGCTACCATTCTTTAAAATTCAAAAACCGTTTGATTTTAGAACTAAATCCCAGTTCCTCACAACAAAGAAATGGCAATAGAGATTTTTGGAGCGACGCGATTTTTGCCGTCAAAGGAGTTAGTATTACCCCCAGTACGAATTGTGTCGTAAACCAAGCTTTTTGAAATGCAGGCGAGAAAAAAGATTGATTGCAATTGACCCATGGTTACAGTAGATATGGATCACATTAAAAAGCATATCTATATCTATACTTCTATACTAATATTATAAAGAGGTCAAATTTGTAAGTTTGTAAGTTTGTATGTAGGGGGTAATCTTTGGAACCGCTGATTGGATTGCCAAAATTATTTCACTGATAGATACAATGTTCCTAAATGCTATAGGCTATAAAACATCACGCTACGATTAAATGAAGCCTAGCAGCGGGTGAAACCACGTGAGAGTAGCTAGTAATTTAGAAGACCATTTCACAGAACCAATCCGCATTTTCTAAACTGCATACTAAACAAATTGGCTGACGCTACAGTCGAAAATTGTGAGACGAAATTCCCTTAGAACACGCACTTCCGTGTTATACAAGTCATATAGGTATTTTGTTATGTTATATTGGACGGAAACGTGTGTAGGTAACATGTTCTGAATAACATCTCGGCTCTTCTCTTGTCACTAAGGGTTTTTGAAGAGGGTTGGTATTGAAAAGATGAGCGCACTAGGGATTGAATGATCCTCATTGTTGGTGACTTTTTGAGACGTAATATTCGCATATATTGCCCAATGAAAGATGTAAGTACTTATGTGTATCCGTTTAGTAGATATTTATTAATATTAGTTACTAATATTGTAACAAATATTAGTTTTATTTGAAAATACGTATGAGTTCCAGACTTACATATAATTAGCAGGTTTAGAACTCGCTTCATTTTAATTGTCTGTTGGGGCTATCTAATCTCAGAGATCAAGGGTGCTCAAGATAGAAATAGCCAGCTAAAATTTAAGGTTACCTAGTTCTCTTAGGAATGTGTTATTTTGGTTTTAAGTGTATTAAAAACTAGTTATGAAATATACATGCACGGGAGGAGAAAAACTAAGTTTGATAAAGCAAAATGATCTACCGCGGGGAAATGACGAAGTAGTTTTCAGTCAATAAGAGTCTGACAATCTTGACCCAATCAAGGCTAGTTTTGGAAGGGGAAAATCATCAAATTACTTCTCTCACTCAGGGTGAGGCGGCGAGAAGGAGTGTCAGACTTCTACTGACTAAATACCACGCCGTTCTTTCTCCTGCTCATGGTCAGTGGGGCGGTAACTTGACCCACTACCCTAGTAAAGGCTGGATATGTTATTATTAGATGATTATGTCCCTTAAAAAAGGGCTCTTGGAAGTCGGGCTTTAAATTGGGCTCCTCAAACAAAGACTGCCAGGTTGCTCAAGAGATCCGAACCAATAGTGTGTTTTTTTTTTATGTAATAGGTCGGCAAACGAGCAGGCGGATTACCTGATGGTAAGCAATCAGCGCCGCCCATGGACACTCGCAACGGAGGAGTTACGAGTGCGTTGCTGACCTTTTAGGGATTAGGGATTTGGAGATTTAGGGATTGAGGAGGGATTGGGGAAGGGGAAGGATTGGGCCTCCGGTAACCTCACTCACACGGCGAAACACCACGCAGTGGTTATTTCACGCCGGTTTTCTGTGAGGCCGTGGTATCACTCCGGTCGAGCCGACCCATTCGTGCCGAAGCATGGCTCTCCCACACTTAATATGTATTTGTGTATTTTTATTTAGTAATGTATTTATAGTTCTCATAGTAGTTAAACAAATAAAATTAGTATAAACATTAAACATCACGCCATATTCTTCACCTTAACTGTTTGCGATGTATTATTAGTGTCAAGATTTTACATGACTAACACGCGCAGATAAGGGTTCAAGGTTCAAGTCCAGTTTCCAGCTCGCTAATGTCAAGTGCAAACTGTATCGATAGCTTATCTCTTACTTACCTATAAGCAAATCCGGATACGTGCTAATTATTTAAATAAATAATTGCAAAGGTTTTTCATATATGTAAGTCTTTATTTAAGTGTTCGTTTTAAAGATTCTTATCACTCCAAAATTACTGGCGTTATAAATCATGAATAGACTTCGATATTAGTTATAATATTTATTCGATGTGGTAGCCTAAAGGATAAGGCACTCATTTCTCATCAGTGAGGGTTCAAAACCTAGCAGGTACCAATGTGACTTTTTCAAGAGGTAGGTATGGTATTTCTAAGAGCATTTAGAAACCACTGTCAAGGTGCAGAGAAACATCGTAAGGAAACCTGGACTTGTAATTTAAGCAATAGCTCGACTAAATACGCAAATTAGGAACATTGAAGCTATTTATTAGTGAAATCATTTTGAAGATCCGACCAAGTACAGGTCCAAAGATTACCCCCTACATACCAACTTACAAAATTTACCCCTTCATGTTTAGTATAGACTACCTAACCTTTTCAGAAAATACATCTCCATTTTAATTGAAATGTCAACGCTCATAGATCTTCAGTTACATTGTCTCAAAGATTGCGGACTTTAAGCGCCTAACACCTTTAATTTAGGTACTATTAAAACTTTTGAAAAGACCTGACAAGAGACAACATTAATTATTATATTTAGGTAAATAATAATGAAATAGGGAATAATAAATTCATAATGGGCGTGGCATGAATTTAGTGTTTATAGATATAGGAATAGAAGTTATTATTGTCCAAATACTTTAAACTTGGATTCATTGTATAAATCCGACTAGAATAGGCAATATTTTCCCAAGATATATTTAGGCATACTTTTCAATCACGATACTAGGGAACTAAGATAAAACCATAAATAGGCTTGACACTTGCTGAAAAATAGAAGACAAAGAATATGCGAACGGACAAAATTTTATCGTCCAGCTAGTCGATTAGTAAAAGGACATTTCCTTTTTATAAACTCTTTATGGTACTAAATGATGGCCATATTTTTCATGGTTTTATGAAATGTTAACACAATGAAAAATTGTTCCCGCATTCTGTATAAATTATTAACTTTAACTACCAATATTCCAAGGACGTATCATTTTCCAATATTATATTATTTCCATCACATTACGCATTAGAAGAAAAAAATTAAAATAATCTATGATATGAAAATGGCATAAAAATAGTCAAATACGAATTTAAGATATAAAATACTTATATAAAGATACATATAAATTATTCTTTCCGATATTAAATGACATAGGACATTTAATGACCTATTACTGCTATAAAAAGACATGAAAAAAATATAATAAGTATTATTTTTACAAACTCACGTAGCAACCCTATCTCCAAAATCTGTATTACTTCGAGACGGCATTATTCATACAAAAAGGCTCCGTTGGAAGTAGTAGCTAGGTAGTACCCAGGTGACAGCCGATACAATAATGAATACAATACAAACTAAAATAGCTTTTATCGTAAGCTAGATAGAACTATTTTAGTAAATTTTCAGGCTGCCTTTTATGCTCACTAAGCGTATTGAAAAACTGTAAAGTAAGTTTTTTAAAAACTACTTCCTACTTATTTTCCTGCCAAACTTTTGAAACTATCAAAGTCAAAGTCAAAAGTCAAAATCATTTATTTCATATAATGAGATATACTAAATTAGTAAAACATAATGGTTTATTCAAGGCCACTTATCGCGAACGCATGGGAGAGCCATGCTTCGGCACGAATGGGTCGGCTCGACCGGAGTGATACCACGGCCTCACAGAAAACCGGCGTAAAATAACCACTGCGTTGTGTTTCGCCGTGTGAGTGAGGTTACCGGAGGCCCAATCCTTCCCCTTCCCCAATCCCTCCTCAATCCCTAAATCTCCAAATCCCTAATCCCTAAAAGGTCGGCAACGCACTCGTAACTCCGCCGTTGCGAGTGTCCATGGGCGGCGCTGATTGCTTACCATCAGGTAATCCGTCTGCTCGTTTGCCGACCTATTACATAAAAAAAAAAAACGCTATACTTGAATAAGGGTGCCGTTGTGACTTGAAACTTGTAGAGTTTCCGTGACTAAGCCGTTATTTTCATGTACTCGTTATCATCATCATCGCGTATCGTGCAAAGGTCTCTTCTTACATGGAGAAGTTTTGAGCATTAATCACCACTCAAGGCGGATTGGCGATTTCAAACTTATAATTAGAAATTATAAGTCCAGGTTTCGCCACGATGTGTTCGTTCATCGTATGTCAGTGGTGTCTTAATAATCATAAAAAGTACATATATCTTGGATAAAGTCACATTGGTACTTGCCAGGTTTCGAACCCGTACGCTCATGCAAGAGAAGTGGGCACCTCAACCACCACGACCTATATTACTCGTAATATGCCATGCGTATTTGAGTTAAAATTCAAATAGTTATTTTGTGGTTAAGTTGGTGGTTAGTGGTGAGTTAACGGAATTAACTTGCGAAATCTAAATTCGAGAAAAATGTTAAATCCGATACCAACGTTCCTAAATGAGTAAAACAAAACCTAGTATCTATTAAATACACAGCATCAAACAATGATCATTTTAAGTTACCTACGCATAATCATTGTTTTAAGTACGAAAAAACTATAACTGTTATACCAAAACAAAATATTATACCTGATAGAATATTACTAGGACCTCGACTGATGTTTACCTAATCTAAAAGGATCAAATTCAAAATTACTTCTAAGAAAAAACCTAATACATGTTACCTAAAAGAAAATTTATTCTCTTATTGTGTAAGGGAAAAAATACCAATCACTAGTGACTTCACTTTTATATCGAATACCCTGGAGGGAAACACTTTTCGTTTCCCTCCAGACTCATCTCCTGATGGTAAGTGATCAGCACCACCTATGGACACCCTTATCACTAAATGAGTGACCGGCACGTTCTTAAAGCAGGTATGAAACAATTGAAATAAGTACTTTAGATTCTTTTGTTTTGGTTCCGTACTTTTTTAAGGGATAGTTTGGCAACCAAAATGACTAACTACCTGATGGTAAGCAATCGGCGCAGCCGATGGACACTCGCAAGACCAAAGGAGTAACAAGTACGTTTTGACCATTTGGGGACAAGGGTTTCGGAGATTTAAGGATTGGGAAGGGATGGGAAGACAGGTAGTGAATGGACCTCCGATATCGTGATTTATACGGCACAATACGACGTTGTGTTTGTTACACGCCGGTTTTCTGTTACGCCGTGGTATCACTCCGGTCGAGCCCACCCATTCGTGCGGAAGCTTGGCTCTCCCACACTAAAACTCCAAATCGTTTCCGTATAAACGGTAACCTAATAACTAAGGCTCCGATACCCATTCGTCTATCCGCCAGATCAAATGTAGACTTTGAATTTGAATTTCTATTATCGCTCTAGTTACAAAATAAAATAGATTTCTGAGACGGGCACACACACAACAAACGTGATTTTAGTAACTTACTCTTAGCCGATTTTTATTTTATTATTGTCGGCGCATTACTATGGCCATGGATCATAGGGGAGGCGACGCGCGGGCCGGGTCTATAAAACTCACGGCCGTGCGAACGCCGCACTTCTTTCTTCATAGACACTCGGCTGATGATCAACGTCAAAGACTTCAGGCATTAACTTGTGTCGTCACACTGCCGGTCTTAATGTAGTTTGCGAAATATACCTATGTTTTGTGCAGTCTCCTGTTTCATTAAAAGTAACCCGAAAGAGCTACAAGAAACATAATTATAAATTTAAAATTTAGAAAACCCCCGACAAAAAATCTAATATTCCTTTAGAAAGTAATAATTTAAAAAAATGTGGCGTTCGTTCGTTCGTTCGGGGGACCGATCCATAGATTTTATTATCAGTCACCTTTAATACAAAAAAAACTAAATTGAAATAGCTTCACCGGTTCAGGC